CGGCATCATAGTCGAACAAGGCCAGTTTTTCTGTTACGAGGGAGAAGACCTGAAGCTTCATCTGCAACGTGGCATCCACAACATCACCGTGTATTCGCTCGTCGGAGTTGTTGTCAATGTGGAGAGTAACGACCAAGCTCACAAGTCGCACCTCGTGGGCATGGTAAATGGTAAGCACCTTCCTTTCCGATTTTTGGTGGATCTTCTAAAACATATGCTAACGCATCGCAGTGTCTCACGCCGAACCAATGCCGCCTGGGGAGTCTCGCTGGCACCTTTTCAACGACTTTTCGGTGCGACAAGTCTCGGCTGCTGAAGCCTTGACGTTCAATGCTGGCTGGAAGATGCCCTCGGTTCTGGTCTTCCAGCAAAAGGCTGCCAACAACCGACACAATACTGAATGGATAGAGAAGCTGGACACGAGCATCCTCTTCACCGATCCTAGGACTCCCTTCGACGAAAAGACTTACCAAGTCCTAACTCCTGACGAGCGGCCCGGACCACAGAGTATTGTTGCTCTCGACACTGAGTTCGTCTCGCTAAAGCAGTCGGAAATACAGGTGAACTCGGATGGTGAGAGGGAGACCATTCGGCCTATGTCGCACGCATTGGCCCGAGTCTCTGTCGTCCGAGGCCAGGGAGAGCACGAAGGCCTGCCGTTCATCGACGACTACATCGAGATCAAAGAACCTGTCGTCGACTATTTGACGTTGTATTCTGGCATCACGCCGAACGACCTTGACCCTCGGACAACGAGGCACAACCTGGTCCCTTTGAAGATTGCTTACAAGAAACTCTGGGTCCTCCTTAACCTCGGCTGCCAATTCCTGGGTCACGGGCTGCGGCAGGATTTCCGCGTAATCAACATTCAAGTTCCGCGATCACAGATCGTCGACACGATTGAACTCTTCTACCTGAGGAACCGACTACGCAAGCTGTCCCTAGCTTTCTTGGCCTGGTACCTGTTGAAGGAGGACATCCAGATGGAAACGCACGACTCTATCGAGGACGCGAGGACGGCTCTCAAACTCTATCGTAAGTATTTAGAGTATGAAGATGCCGGTATCCTGGATACGATGCTGCAGGAGATCTACCGTGTCGGACGGGAGATGAACTTCAAACCTCCGAGGAGAGACGAGGCGGTGGTGCAAAGGACGGACACTCCGCCGGTTGGAATTGAAGGATCATCCGGGCCCATCACGCCGAGGAGACCTGGCGCATCAGCACAGATGCCCGGAAGTGGTTTGGGGGCGCCGCAGTATTGGACGCCGGGGAAGGACTCGCCTTTGAGTCGAAGGTGATGAACGGGACAGGAGAGAACAGCGGTTAAAAAGTAACACAACGAGAGTGATACGTGTAGATACTGAAATAAGAAGATGTAGTCACCACTAGTGCTCTTGCCGTGACCCTTGATTCCATTGCACTGTTCGACCGAGTAAAGTGTCCCGGCTTGCGCGGGCAAGCTAAAGGTTATCTCTGCTCTCCCATCATTAGCTGATTAAGTTAACATGATACAAATCACAGGCATTGGGATGAAGAATTCAGCATGAAGCGTAATCTGGGTTGTGGCGTTTTGCACCAAAAATTCATCTTTTTGGACTTCAAAATATCCATATTCATGATTGTAATTCTAATCAAACCTAATCTTGGTACCCGCAAAAGCAGCCGTCTGCTGCTTCTCCTGGGCCTTCTTCTTGGCCTCCCAAGAAGGATGCAACGGGCCGGGTTTGTCCGCCATGGTCTCCCGCTTCTTGGGCGGCGGTCTCTGCTCCTCCGTCCCTGACGCCGCTGCCGCAAACGGATTCTTCACCCCCGCTTTCCAAGGCGTCCGCTTGCCCTCGACGGCACCCCGTTTGGGATCCCATGTCGCCTTCTGTGGCTTGGAGAGGTGCTTGGCCTCCGCCTTGAATTTCTTCTCCCAGATGGCCTGGCGCGCTCGTTGGCCGCGGCGGTTCTTCCGCGGCGGCGCGAGGTCGACGTCCGAGGCGGACTCGGAGCCGGAGATGTACCCGCCCATGAGTGAGGGGAGGAAGGTGGAGTCTGTCGGTCGCGCGGAGTCTTTGGAGGATTTGGCCTTTTTGGATTTGCGTTTTGGCGAGGGTGAGCGGGATATGGCGGAGTAGTCGGAGCTTTCGTCTGAGTCCTCGTCGGGTTGGGCTTCGTCTTCTTCGTCTGTGATTTCCATGGGGTCGGGCTCTTCGACCGATTTTCTTGGTTTGGTTGATGGTTTGGTAACTGCTTCGTCTTCTTCGTCGGAGGAGAAACCACCGAAGCTGCTCAGATCATTCACCATTTCGTCGTCGTCGCTTCCCTCCTCGGACTCTAGGTCAATATCACCCAGATCGTCGTCTTCTTCTTCGCCGTCCGTGATCTCCATGGGATCAACCTCGTCGTCCCCTTCGGATCCTGAGTCCTCATCATCTGACGAACCCCCAAGCAGAGCCTCGTACTTCGATATTGCTTGTTCTGCCTCCTCGTCCGAGATCTCGTCGACCGGAGCCTCCTTGATTTGTTTCTTGGATTTCTTAGCAGCCTTCTCGTCAGCCTTCTCTTCCTGATTGAGCTGGGCCTCTAATGCCCCAATCAAATCTGTCCTCTTTGATGTGCCCTCCTCTTTCTTATTCTTCTTCTCCGTCTTCACGTCCTTCTCCTCTTTACCAGCACCCTTCCCTCTCTTCGGCGGTACCGGTATCCCCAGCGCATTGCCAATGCCCGCTATTGCCTTGTCCAGCACATCTCGTACCTCCTTCCTGTTGTACAGTGCACTGGTGACGTTGTGCAGCGCTGCCCTCTCCTCTTCGGATATATCTGGTTTCGGCGGTCCAGCTTTGATATCGCTGGGGAGGTCTGGTGCTTCGGCAATTGACTTGAACTTGAGAAGAGATGCGCAGAGGTGCGCATGCGCCGCTTGGTGCAGGTCCAGGGACTATCGTCGCAACAGTCAGCGGGAAACATTACAGATATTTGGAGTTGTCGAGAAGCCATACCTTTAGCACCACAACCTCCTTCTGCAACCTCTCAATCTTCTCGGGCGTCGACTTGCCATCCTTCAACCGCTTCGCCAGCCGTTGCCTCTCAAACCCCTTAGCTTTCTTCAGGGCATGATGCAACTCCTGGTGAAACTTGTCCACCTTTTCCTGCACTTCCTCCTCCACAGTCCTCTTTCTTTTTGGCATTTTGGGCTACCCTCGCTGTTGTTAAATGGTAGCTTAGGCTTGAGGCCTTCGATAGAGCGAAAACTAGCCGTCGCAACTTGCTGTCTCGTTATAAGAATTTTAAGCGGGGTGCAGCTGGACGGCCTGTACCGCTAAGCTGGATCAAGCTAAGCCTTACAAGGGTCTTAATTGAACGTCCAACACATTGTTCCTGCGGTACTCTGCAGGGCTGGACGCGTCGCAAACGCGTCTCGCTGGAGGAATGGAGCAATGTGTGCAGATTCAGAACTAGATACCAGCCAAACATATTGACAATATCCAACGTTTTGGGGCTCTGTACAGAAAAGTAGTGATAACTGATTCGATATTGACTTGCCGTGTAAGCTAACGATTCCAAGCATAATGTCTTCTCCGGTGCTAACGCAGGGTACAGGCAGTTTGCATGCTGAAGTCGCACCCAATTCTACCAGCTAATACACTATCCAGCTCGAGCTGTTCGTCGACGGTACATATCTGGCTACAGTCTGCAGATGCAAGGAGCGGGACGTTGAACACACGGTCTGGGCTTCAGAACTACATTGCACCGCGCTCGAGGTTGCGCTGAGACCGGTCAATTCTTTGCAGACTGTCCACCTTATTGTCAAAGGCCTGACGTGGCGCGGAATTAGTTGTCGACGGACTAACTGCCGGCCAGACCCTAAGGGCAAAGTTCAGGGACCTCGTTGTCATAACAGAATGGCAAACGCGTCAAGACCCGGCGCACATGGCGCTCATGCGACTCCCTCGCTACAGGACTTTAACAACTCCCTGACAGCAGAGGATCGAACCCAAATCAACGAAGCTGTTAGTGTCTCCCATCTCTTGTCACCTCTATCTCATACACTAACAGCCCCTTCTTCTCCAGTTCGAGCTCTTCGATGCAAACTCCGACGGGCGCCTAGACTACTACGAATTCCGCTTTGCCCTGCGCGCCTTGGGGTTCGATCTCCCCAAGCCAGAAACCTACGATTACCTAACGAAATATGGCATACCCGACCCTGCCCGCGGACCCAAATCGGATCCTGTTTGGTGGCAGTTCAGCCTACCCGTCTTTCAAGGTATAGCGGGACAGTTGGTGGCAAGGAAAGATCCCACAGAGACGTATAAGCAGGCATTTCGATTATTTGATGTGGATGAGAAGGGGCTCATCACGGTGGACGACTTGAGGCGGGTCATGAATGAGATTGGGAGGGAACTGAGTGATCGGGAGTTGGCAGGCATGATCAGCGAGTTTGATCTAAACGCGAAGGGAGGTGTTACGGAGGAGGAGTTCATCAAAATTATGGAGAAGAAGTAAGGGGACTGAGGCATAGTTTACTTTGGTTTGGTTATATCTGGTTGGGTTGTTTGGTGGCTAATGATACCTCTCGTCGTGTTCATGCATGCTGCGTTGTCTGGTGTCTGCAAGTGCTGCCCTGCCGGCTATGGTAACTGTTACCTATATATAGCTAACGGCGCCGTCTACGTGCGGTGTCACTATGTTTACCTGAGGCATGTAAGAGGATGAAAAGCAAAGCCGGTGAGACTTTCCGGGGCGCCGATCATGTTGTAGCAGGCAGCAAAAGTGTTCTCTCTGTCGGGGAATTGAACCCCGGTCTCGAGCGAAGTCTGGGATGACAAGCTCACATACTAACCACTATACGAACAGAGACTGGTGTTCTGTAATGGAATATCTCTCCATATGTTTTTTGTGGCTTTCCGTCCTCAACCTAACTCAAATTTGGAGTTTCGTCCACAGTCTTACAGTTCGTTCGAGTCATGCTGGTTAATGAAGTCGAACGAGTATATCTTACTGGACTTATCAACGGCCTCGTGGCGCAATGGTGGCGCGTTGCTTTCCGGTTCAGTACCACTGCTGGCAGAGGTTCCAGGTTCGAGCCCTGGCGGGGTCGGTTCCAGTTATTCGTACGCTCATGCGTACATTTTGAAGTTTTGCCGGCTTCATGTATACATACAAAGACTCCGTGACAAACGAGGTGATGAGTCTTAGCAGGGATATATAAGACCAGTGCATCGAAGCAGCCTTCAACAAGCCCCCGGGTTGCATTGTGTAGTCAGGTAAACTCACTCATGTTGTGGAAGTGAGAGGTATCATTCGAGTGTTGACAGAGCGCTTGTTGTGGCTGCGGAAGTTCGAGGGAGTAAGAGCGGCTGTGCTTACAAAACACACCAGGTAACTTTCACAGCAGAGGCACTATATATCGCACTCGGCAAGCATCCAAGAACACTGAGCTGTTACCAAAAAGGTAAATGGTTGAATGCTAAGGTTCGGGTTGAAACAAGGAGGAGAAAGCTCTCTTGTTGCTCAGTGTACTGCGTACAGACGCAGGTGCCAACTTCACTCTTGAGACATCTCGCGGAACCCGACCCCGCCACATACGTACTTCACATACAGGCCAGATAAGTCAAGTGATAGACTGCCTAATGGGTGAAGTATAGTTATCATCAAATGCCGGTTCAAAATGCAAAGAAGCATGAAGGGCTGTGTTGTTATAGGGTAGCCTGAAGCCCGCCCAGATGCCAATTGGCTCACTGTCATGCACGGGCCAAGACTACAGGCTTCCCATTAAGCAGAAAGCTCCAAGGGCAGCTTCTGCCCAGAACAGGGAGCACGGAGCATGCGACGAATCAGGTTTCAGTATGATCCACCTTGCCCGACAACACATGTGGATTTTCCCTTTGAACACCACACGACCTAACCAGAAAAGCAACCTCACTACCTTCGTCATCACAACCCCAATCCTCTAATTAGTCGCATGGTCTATGAGCCCTGTCTCATTGACCCAGAAGACGAATTGCGGCGCGACGATATTGTCTCCAGTATTTGCAACAACCTTTAGCCTGGGGGACGTCTCTACCGACTCAACTCGCATTGTCCCCGCCATTTTGGACAGATTCCAGACTGGCCACCCCACGCGACGCGCCTTCCACCCAAGACGAGATAGTTTAGCTCTGTCCTTGTGTTTCAAGGATAGCAGCATAGACTCTATACTCTTCCAAACCGGGTTGCACCGGTAACTCCTCCATGGTGCCACGCTCCAGAGCGGGAACGTTTTCGCCAAATCCAACTCTGCAGACCAGCCACAACCACTCTCCACAACGGTCACAAGCTGGTGGCAGCCCGAGCACGCAGAGCCCCACTGGGATAGGGTCCCTGACCAAGATTGTCGTTGCTCAGGTCTACCTGTTGCTTAGTACCATCAAGGACGAGAAGGACGACAAGTGCGAGCAGCTACGCAAGGTACGAAACTTGATGCCCAGCACCCACAATACCTTGGGAAGTCTTTCTTACGTTCGGCCGTTCGTAACATGACGGCAGGATACCAAGGCTGAACCACTGTCCCACCTTCTTTTTCATTTGGACAGAGAGTGTCTCTATTGTTTGGGGCTTATTACTGACTCATTCCTTCGCCAGCTGATCGATGATAACGGTATGGAGGTCTTTTCGAAATACTTCACACGGCTGGTGGCCGGCAATGCCCCCAAGATTTTTGGTCTCAACCGGCCGGTAGCCAACCCGGGAAACGAGCAGTTACTTGCCAAAGAGATGGACAAGATTGCGATAGACCCAGAGCAAGCCAGAAAGATCGCAGAAGCAATCGAGACCGCCACCGATGATATCTTCCGGGATTTCGACCTCTCTAGCTTTATGGAATATTTTAGGCTCGATCCTCTTGAAAAAACTATATTAGCACTTGCTTTCAAGCTCGGCCAACGACAAGATCTCCGAACCAAGGGTAAGTGGACCACGCAGGAGCGTTGGAGATGCCCGCTCAGGCCGTCTGTTGCTGTTGTTTCAATATGCTAACGTTGTGCTGTAGCCGATGCCATCCTTGCGACCAACTTCCCAGCCTTTGTTGCCATGCTAGGTCGTCCGGATGGCAAGCATGCGGACATGGATCAAAACTTCATTGCCGAGATCATCGATCGATTTATTCAACTCCATCCGCCCAACTTCACAGCTGCCGCCAAGTCAGAACTTCGCCACAATGTAGGCCAGCGCTATGCCCGGCTCGATCTCGCTCCTCCGTCTCAGGTTCTGGCTGCGCTGGACTTGATGCGTGTTTTGGGAGATCGGCCCCCAAATGCGTTGGCACTTCACATCCACCGAATAGGCCCGGACTTCACCAGTGACGAGCAAACGTGCATTTCCTACTTGGAGTCCCGGCCGAAGAGCATCGCGCTTAATGAGGAGCAGGTTTCTGCCGCGCTGACCTACACCACCATTTCGCAGACCCAACGCCACGACCCATCGGTACTGGTAGCTGGACTCCGGCGAATCCTCCCCGACTCATTTCGTTGGCAAGATGTGGTGACCTACTTCGACTTGCAACATGTGCGGATCTCGGCGGATCACTTCCTGCGGCTCTACAACGCACTCTTGCCCATAGCGAAGGACGAAAGTTCAGGGTTCGATATCCAGAGCCTTTGGGGAGGGGAGTGGGAACACCCAGAGACCCAGCTGTCGTTTGTGTGCGCCTTTGCCTCGCTTCGACCCGAGCAGCTTGACGCCAGCACCATTCCTGGCTTGATACCCACCTTCACGCTCGACGCCTATGCCCAGTTGAGTCCTTCAGTTCGCGAGCGAGCGGCGTATGCTGTGAGGCATCCGCTGGTGTCTTCCAAAGCCCTGTCGGCGGTGTTCAACGTTGCGCTCCACTCGATCCATGCTTCCCAGACCACCGAGGCCAAGCGGTTGTTCCAGGAGGTTGTCATCCCTAATTTGGACATATTCGTGGTCTCGGCTTTCGGTGTTAGCAAGCCGTGGCCACAGATGGCGCTCGAGACCTTGAACTCCCTCTTCGAGCAGTTTCTCTACAAACGAGCGGCAGATTACGACTTTGTGCTGGAGAGTATCTGGAGCAAGGATAAGGAGTGGGTCAAGGCCCGACTGATCGATGCTCATGCAAACAAACCTATTGATCTCCCGATCATGCTGGAGCATGCCGTCAAATATGGCTGGCTTGACGAGCTGGTGTATATTCCCAGCGGTTTTGGCCTGGACTTGACAGCCCTGGCTCACGCCAAAGGTCTACTCGATCTGCCGAGCTGGGCCCGGAGGAATCTGGAGCTAGGGAACGATATCACCCCCCTGTTGTGGCGCTTCCTTGATATGAAGGCTCGGTGGGAGATTGACGTACAACGTGGGACGGAAGACCAAGTCGTGCCCCAGACTTCGCTACAGGTCCGGACCGTGTATGGCATCCTTCAAGTGTTGGAGGATATTCTCCCCAAAATACCGTTTTCTGGATTGACAGAGGTGCAGCGGAGGTGTATCACGGCCTACCCCCGGCTGATCAACTACGGCGAAGGCTTTGACGAGATAATTGACGCGAACGGCCGTGGCGGCAATGCTCTTTCGCCTGCTGCCAACAGCAAGATGGAGGAGCTCTACAAGCGCATGTATGGCGGCGACATTCAAGTTCGTGACGTTATTGCTGTCCTCGAGCGGTACAAGAAGTCGCAGGACCCCTTGGACCAGGACGTGTTTGCGTGCATGATACACGGCCTCCTTGACGAGTACACACACTATATCGACTATCCCTTGGAAGCGCTTGCCACGACGTCGGTCCTGTTCGGTGGTATCATCTCGTACCGTCTGGTGAATAATCTGCCACTGAACATTGGACTGGGCATGATCTTGGAGGCAGTGCGTGATCATGGTCCTAACGACTCCATGTACAAGTTTGGCTTGCAGGCGCTCATGCAACTGTTCTCCCGTCTCCGCGAGTGGCCCAGCTTTTGCAAGCAGCTCATCCAGATCCCAGGGTTGCAAGGCACGGAGGCGTGGAACAAGGCACAGGCAATCGTACGGGATCATGACGAGAACCAGCCCCGTTCCCTGCGAGGTAACGGAGACGGCTTCGGGTTTCCCTCAGGGCTGGGCAACGAGGGGCTAACAAACGGGAAGCTTGATGGCGGTGGATCCGAGACGCATCATCCTCCTCCGTTCAAGTCGATACATGTCGACCCTCCACCACCGGGCATCTTCGAGGATCCTAGCGATCAGGCTCAAGATCGGATTCAGTGGGTCCTCAATAATTTGACCTCGGACAAGGTGCAATCCATGTTTCGAGAGGTTAGAGAGATGCTCGAGCAGAAGCACCAGCAGTGGTTCGCTAGTCATCTGGTTGAGGCGCGCGCCAAGGGCCAACCTAACCTCCACGACGTCTACCTGGATCTAATTCAGCAGTTTCAGGATAGGTCACTGTGGGCCGAGGTGCTCCGGGAGACATACAATAGCGTCGCGAAACTGCTAAACTCGGAAGCGGTTGTGCAGAACGCGACAGATCGAGGCCATCTGAAGAATCTCGGCGATTGGCTTGGACGAATCACGCTTGCTCGCGATAAACCTATCAAGCATAAAAACATCGCCTTTAAGGATCTCTTGATCGAGGCGCATGACACGGATCGCTTAACCGTCGTGATCCCTTTTGTGTGTAGGGTGTTGAGCCAGGGGGCCAACTCCAATGTCTTCCAACCGCCCAACCCCTGGCTCATGGACATTATCCACCTTCTCATTGAGCTCTACCATACGGCGGCCCTGAAGCTGAACCACAAGTTTGAGATTGAGGTCCTCTGCAGGAATCTGCATCTCGACCACAAGAGCATTGAGCCGTCTACGGAGATCCTAAACCGAGTTCCGGCAGTGGACGAAGTTGGCGATTCGGGAGCCCAGGACGCGTTGGAGTCGTTCGAAAATCTATCTCTCAACGGCATGGCTCCCGGCATGTCCAATGCCCTCTCGCCCCATCCCGCTCCTCCATCGATTCCCGACCTTGGTCCTAGCCTTCAGATACCGCAGACAGAGGTTGTGAACGCCTCTCGGCTGCACGAGATTGTCCTCGCCGCTCTTACACGGGCCTTGCAGGACATCATCCAGCCTGTTGTC